CATGACTCAGGCGTAAGGTGCACTGGCCAGTTACTTTGGTTTTCTTTGTTTATTAACTCCTTATAATTATCAGTGTTTTCTCCCAGTCTCAGTAGTAGTCTCCCCATCTCTGAAAAATGAGTATTGTTTCAAGTGAATGAAGAGTTTGTGTCATCATTTAGATGTCAAAAAAGATCTATCATTTATTCAGTAATTTTTAAAAGTATATATTTCCTACTCTGTCCCAGTCCTGGTTCTAGCCCTAGGGCTATAGAGACAAAACAGATTGACAAAACCCTCAAGTGGCTCACTGTCTAGCAGGGAGACCAACAAGTAAGCAGATGACAAAAAGGAAAGGAAGTGTGACAACAATGACAAAAAACAAGGAACAATGCCACCCGTGCCCTTGGACTTGGGCGGCGTAGCAGGGCTGCCGCTGGTGTCAGATGACCGTCGCACGGGAGGAGGGGGCGGGACCAGGCTAGACTTCGCGGCGTGATGGGCCCTGGGCACCCCTGCGTCGTGGTGGTTATCTAGGGCTGGCTTCTTATCCTGCAACAAGGCCACAAGAGCATTCGTCATTATTAACCAAATCAGCCACCATGGACATGACAGTGCTATTGAAATGTGAGATGTCTCTCCCGGGAAGCCTCCAAGCCTCAGTCACTGAGACTACCTGGTTCACATGCTCAAGTTTGCTCTGGAAAAGGGGAATGACTCCAAATGGCTTTTTTTTTTTTTTTTTTTTTTTAAAGAGACCGGGTCTCACTCTGTTTCCCAGGCTGGTCTCCAACACCCGGCCTCAAGCATCCTCCCATCTCAGCCTCTTAAGTAGCTGGGGCAACAGGTGTGAACCGCTGCCTTGACCCTAATGGTCTTTAACAGCAATTCCTGTGGCACTCATCTACCAAGTCTTCTGTGGATGGAAGATGGGGCCATATTCCACCAGGCGTTAGTAGTGTTTAGATCATATTTATATCTTTCTGGATAATGCCTCTCTAAATGGGCTTTAGTGGTGTAGCCCTTAGTTTAGAGATTTTTGAACTCTTTTTCCGCTGCAAACCCCACTGTTGCAGTGTATTGGTTGTTGCTGCTCAGGGGACATATGAACCTGGTAGTCCTGTAACAATACCCTCCATGGCAGAGAGGTGGTTAGGGGCTTCCTCAAACCTTCACAAAAATCTCCTAGCTTAACTGCCCTACTTTGATTAGGGCAAAGGAGATAAAGGAGAAAAGTGAATGGAAATAGTTCTTTCTGGGCTACAGGAAGCCTTTGCACAAATTTAGGCACAAAGGATATTTTTCCCGGCAAATAACTTTCCATCTGCTCTTGGGTCAGTGTTTACTTGCATTAGTCTTCTGAGCAGGACTGTGGGCTGCCCGGAAAGAGCCAGTTACAAGGTTTGTTCCCACTGGCCTACCAGCTGTAGGGGAGGCAGTGTGTTGAGTCAAGAATCAGAACATTTGGTCTCTCATCTTAGTTTTCTTCTCCTTAACTGTGTGAAAGTTGATGGTTCATCAGATGCAAATTAAGCTCCGTAACCTCTATTATTATCTGTGTCTTAGGTTGAGAGAGATCAAATGAGATAAATACTTGGGTGCCAGAAAGATGTACACACATTTTAAGAGATATTATCTATGTATTACTTTTAGTTTGCTGTGATCAGAAGTGTCTGGCTGTCGATGGTAACCACTTTGAGCACCTCTTGTAATTGCAGAAGGCAAGTGTGACTTGTATTCATCTTTTATTACAATTTCAATTCAATTTTTCCTTTCTTAAATGGGTATACATTTTTTTGGCACCCTTCTGTACATGAGGTCTGAAAAGTGAAATCATGATGCATGTGCTATTGGTAGAAACCAGAGCACCAAATTTGGCTAAAATCTAACAGAGGCATAGCCCTTCCTCTGCCAACAGTGGAATTGATAATAATTTATATTTATATAATGCAACTACCCCAGAACTTTCAAGCAGCTGAATTGAATCCCTATGTCTTAGTGATAATTATCATTCCAATTTACATTTTATCAGGCTTCTATTTTATTTCTTCCTCTGCTTAATAACCTTTTATTATTGAAGATTGAACTTAGAAGTTTTTTTCTAACAAAGTACCTTATGATTGAGTTTCTATTTTATTTAGTTTGTTTACTTTAGCACGATAGGCTAATTAACTGGTGAAGTATTTTTTATTTCTGAACAGGCGGCTCGGGAATTGGTGTCCACACATAGTTAAGTGATTTCTATTCTGGGATTCTTTCATTTCTTTCACCACTCATAAATGCTTTCCTTCAATTAGCATTATAGAAATAATGAAAATAATAATAGCAGAAAGTGCATTGCATGATGTGATGGTCAGAAGTGAAAAGATAATGGGAACGACCGGGTGCGGTGCTCAAGCCTGTAATCCCAGGTTGGCTGGTCCTGGGCTCAAGCAATCCTCCTGCCTTGGCCTCCCAATATGCTGGGATTACAGGCGTGAGTCACCATGCCGGTCAGAAACATAACTTTTAAAGGCCCACAATGGCTTCAAAAAATTTAAAGAAGTCCAATAAACCAAGATTCCATTGTTTTCACCGCTGGCTGTTGGACAAAATGAAGGGGTGAAGAAAGTGAAGAATGACTGAAGCAAAGCATCTTGCCTGTAATAGCTGGGTGGTATGCTATTGGCACAGGCATTTGTTTTCACACACACGGGAAATATTTAACAGAACTTACATTAGTCAATTGTTATGAACTGAATTAGTAACTACATTTATAATTATTAGCTAAAATTTTTAGATGGATTTAAACGACTCTTCATCTATTCTCTTGAAAAAAGTTATGGAGAATGTTCTGGAGAAACAATTTGACTATTGTTTTATTTTATTTTTTATAAAGAAAATAAACTCATTTCTCACAGTTCTGGAAAATGGAAGTTCAAGGTGCTGACAGGTTGGGGTCTGGTGAAAGCCAAGTCTCTGCTTCTTCCCCACCCCCCAATTTTATTGTAGATTCAGGGGATACACATGCATGTTTATTACATGGACATATTGTGTAGCAGTGGGGACTGGCACTACAGTGGTCCATTCCCAGATAGTGAACATTGTACTCAATAGGTAATTTCTGAACCCTAGCTCCCTTTCCACCTTTCTGCTATTATTTTAAAATATACTTCCTCCTCCATCACTCTGGGACATTAATGGGAAAATAAAAAATGCACGTGTTATAGTGTACCTCTTCAGCAGTTTTCTAAGATGGTTTTGGGAGTCAATTAGCACTTTATATAGGGCTTCTGACTAGCTGGTTGCCCTAATTTATTTAGAAAACACAAGTAAAAAGTAAAATCCCAAGGGCTTAACACTCAGGTGCACCACTTTTAGAGAGTGCTGAAATCACTTGACTAAACCAAGAAAATCACTTTGATCAAAATAAATGTGGCAGAATATCTCCAGTATTTAAAAGAAGTTCTTATATTTTCCCTAAGCTGTGTGATAATTGGTTTAACTTTGGATTCTAGGGTATGCAACTTTGGGATAAGAAATATAAACAACTAGCTAAATGAACTTACAGTGACTTCGCAGTTGTTGAAATTATGCTTTCTTTTTTTTAAAAAAGTGCAGTTATCAGGACTATGCTAATGGTTTAGAGTATGGGCATATGGGCGACAGTCTGACAGAATGTATGTCAGCTCCTCTCTCGCCTTACCTTTGCTGTTTCCACATGTCTCCGGGCCTCTTCAAGAACAGCACCGACAGAATGTGCAGCCTGGGGAATCTGACCATTGGGCTGGGTAGTGCCTGTTTTAAGTCCTGAAAGGGAAGAAGAGAGACAAAAAGAGTGGGAAAAGCCTGTCCAACATTCTTGGAAGTTAATCTGAAAATACAACACAGTTTCTATCTCTAAAGCAAAAGAAAAGGATTGACAGGCTGGGCCCGGCACACAAGACCTAGGACATGCAAGGTTCTACAGTAAAACTTTATATGAGAGCCAGCAAAACACTCAGGAAAGCAAATATAGTGTTGGATAAGAAGCCTACAGAGGAAAATTTGCATTAACTGAAACCCTCTAGAATAGAATGTTCTGCTTTTAACAGCTTTTTGTGTGTGTGTGTGTGAGTGGGGAATAAACCTTGAAAGCTTAAAAAAAAAAAAAAATCCCTGTAGTTGATTTTCCTGAAATGTATTTATCCAGTTTCACACCATGCTGAGTATAGGAACAACTTTTGAACATTATCCTCAACAAAAAAGTACTGTGGACACAGAAACAATAGACAGAGAATTGGGCAAAATGCACGAAACTCCGATATACCCTGGAATTAGATTTATTCTTTCCCCCCCAAAGTCTTGATATGATCTTATTTTATTTTCCTGCCTTTCTTTTTGTCCTTTGACCACAAAACTATGACTCATGGAAGGAAGGTTAACAGTTGTGAGAGAATTAGCTAGAAGAAACTGTTTATTTCTGAGGCTTCTTAGAATGCATCCTGGTGAGGACGGCCACCTTCCACACACTGGGGCCATTTCTGCTACTATTGAAACACCAGCCAGGCCATGCCAGGAGGTCTTTCACCCCCCACCCTGTGAATACAGAGATTGCTTTAGCCGTACTCAATACCAGTTATTCTGACAAATATTTAGGAACTGGTTGCTTACTTCTCCAAATAATTTCCCAATAATTTAAGAGACCCATTAATCAACTCAAAGAAAGACTTCAGGAGACTGGAAAGAAGAAGGAGAAAGTATGATGAGGACTAGGATAGCTACATAGTCTCAAAGTATTTCTCTCCAAACTATTAAATACAAAATGAAAAATCTACACAGGAGAGACATCAGACAACACCTTAAGCAAGTGGTCAAAATAGAAGAAAGCATTGACCCAAGAGCTGGCAAAACAGCTCTTTGTCAGGAAAGAAATGCTTTGTGCTGTTCACAAGGGGCAGATGGACATGGTGTGCCTCCAATTGTGAGACCCTGAGAAGGACAAAACAGCACTCACATTCCTGCCCAAAATGCACAACCTGAAACAACTCAGGAGGAAACATCAGGTGCATGCAAATTGAGGGGCATTCTATAAATAAATTACCCTTACTCTTTATAAAATGCGAATGTCTTGGTAGATAAAGAGAGGCTAAGGATGCCTTCAGATGAAAGGGGACTGCAGACACAGATGACTAAATGCAACACACCACTGTGGACTGAAGCTGTGCCAGGAAAAACACATTGTTATCAAGAGCATTACTGAGACAAATTGCAAAACTGGAATACAGACTGTAGTTCAGATAAATATACACTGGAGATGTAAAGGAGATAGGGCCATGGCATAAGCCATCTACTCTCAAATGACTGAGAAGAAAAATATGTGGAAAGAGAGACAATGATAAAATAAATGTGGGAAAATAGAAATGGCAAGATCAGAGCAAAGGGTACGTATGAGTTGTACTATCTTGTAACTTTTATGTAAGCTTAAGATTATTTTAGAATAAAAAGAATATATTAGTATCCATATATAAGTTTAAAAGGGCCAGGTGTAGTGGCTCATGCCTGTAATCCCAGCACTTTGGGAGGCTGAGGCAGGAGAATCACTTGAGCCCCGAATTTTGAGACCATCCTGGGCAACATAGAAAGCAACACAGGGAGACTTCGTCTCTACAAAAAAAAATTTTTAAAAATTAGCTGGGCATGGTGGTACACACCTGTTGTCCTAGCTACTTAGGAGGCTGAGGCAGGAGGATCACCCGAGCCCAGGTGGCCAAGGCTGCTGTGAACTGTGATTGTGCCAGTGTGCTCCAGCCTGGGTGACAGAGTGAGACCCCCTCCTCAAAAATAAGTAAATAAATAAATAAAAGAAAGAAGGAAAGAAAGAAAGAAAAATTAAGAGTCCTGACTAAAAGCATTTGCTCAAGAAATCGAGTCATTTTATAAATACTAAAAAAGCCTCCCTGGCTGTTCCCTAGTAGGAAAGAAAAAAAATATGGCCATTTATCTCGAATAAAGTACTTGCTAAACACTTTGGATATAGAATAATGCCTCCATGCTTTGTTTTCAGATGGAGAGTTCTAGAAGAAACACACGAATCCCATGTGGTTTATGACGCCCAGCCAGTAACCTTCACGACCTCTGCATGTTTCTCCAGGACTGGTTCAACTGTGTACGGAAGGAAAGGCCGGGAGAAGAGGAAGGGGAGGAGGTGGGCAGAAAGGGATTCTAGATTCCCTGAGGGAAGTTGCCAGCCCATGCTGAGAAGGCATCAGGCAGAGTGGGACTGGGTCTTCCTGCCCCACCTAACGATTCTACAGCACGTCTTTTCCATGGAGGGTGAGCAGCTAGCAGAGGGGCCGGAGTGCAGACTCCACAGAACACCTCAGCTGAGTTCTGACCCATCCTGTGAGATTCCCAGGGTGTACTCTGCTGGACAGTGACTCAAGGGAGCAGTTGTTAGGGGGTGGAGGGGGATTCCCTGACTGGTACCCCAAATGGCTCGAGGTCAAGTAACTAGAGTCAGCCAATAACTCCTCTGTCCCAAGGACTATTTCTCCCCTCAAGACGATTTTTTTTTTTTTTTTTTTAGCAGGAGTCTTACTCTGTTACCCAGGCTGGAGCGCCGTGGCACACTCACAGCTACTGCAGCCTCGACCTGCTGGGCTCAGGCTGTCCTTCCACCTCAGCCCTCCAAGTAGCTAGAGCTACAGGTGTGTGTCACCATACTCGGCTAATTTTTAAATTTATTATAGAGATGAGGTCTCACTAAGTTGCCCAGACTGGTCTTGAACCCCTGGACTCAGGCAATCCTCTCACCTCCATCTCTTAAAGTGCTGGGATTATAGGCGTGAGCCACTGCGGGCAGCTAGACTATTCTTGAAGGCCACTTTACTACACTTAGAAGGGAGGGGACCATGGAAGGAACATATGACTTGATGTGTCCAGGACTCCTTGGATGAACAGAGGTCCCTTAAACACTTTCCGAGAGCCCTGCTAATTTAGTGCCACAAGTTCAGGAGGAGAGGGAGGCTTCAATAATATTTGGCAAGAACAGAATTTTACAAGATGGTGTCATTTCAAGCAAGTCTTTGTCGCTAAGATGCAATCATGGTCATCACATGTGCATATGTGTATAACTGGGAAGAATCAGCTTTGGCTCCTTTCTTAACTCATCTTTGGCTCCTTCCAAGCTCATGAATGTAGCTCTTCAGAGTTTAAAATCCCACACAGCAAGAGCTTGTGGCAATAAAGTATAAGGCATAAATGGAAAAAAGGTTTAAACTGAGGATTTTTTTCCTTAAGTTACTCACTGAAGCATTTTATTCATAAGCGGTGATGGCTCCTAGTATGTTTATTTTAGAACCTCAGCACGTTTGTTCTCTGCAGAGCCGGCAGCTATAACAGAATTTAGGAATTTTTGATCAATGAGAGTCTATGGCAGCACCAGCAGGGGTTAATCTACTGAGGGAAGTGCCATCACAGGCGGGACCCCCTTAGTCCATGGAAGTCTCATCTGACCGCTGCAATGAAGTTCTTGTAAAAATGATGTTCTTCACAAATGATTTCTAAGCATTTCACTTATGAGGGATGGAATTAACATTTTTTGAGCTCTTGGCTGGAAGGACATTCACATATGTAATTTGATTTCTTCCTCTGGGAAGCCCTCAAGGTTCATTCATTCTTTTCACTTGTCCTAACCATCTTTGAATTCTGACAGAACACCTATTAGCAGCCAGACCTCCATCTCGGTGCCGGGAAACCTTGATTCACAGGACATGGCCCCGACCTTCTGATGCAGGGGAAAGTCTAGCGGAGGGAACAGATGCTAATCTCATAGGTGCACCAAGTATTAACTAAGACTAGTCTACAAAGGGCAGTTAATTTGAAACCTGAGGCTAGGTAAGGGGGAGCCCCGTGGGGAAGGAGGGAACATCATAAACTAAAGGGATAGCATCTGGGAAGTCCCTGAGGAAGGATGGGGCTTGGACCTTTGAAGAACTGGGGAAAACCAGAAGGCCCAGATGGCAGGAACAGGAAGACAGAGGGGGAAGAGGCAGAAGAAATGGGCAAAGCTTATGTGACACAGGCTTTGGAGGGGTCTTGCTAATTGCTTCACAAGTGCTTCAGGTAGGAAAGAAATCAGATTTACATTTAACACCTGAAATTATGAGGCTTGCACCCAATCCTAAGTTATGACTCATACATATTTTTTGGTGTCCTTAGGTGGAGGCAGCGTAATGACACTGGTTCAAGAGCGTTTTGAAGAATAAGCCTTTAAATTACCTTCGGTGTTTCCTCCTAGGAATCCTAGTTTTAGAAGAGAAACAGCAAGAAGAGGCTGGGCACATTTCTCTAGACCTTGTCAATGAGTAAGGCTTTTTTTTTTTTTTTTTTTTTTGCATTGGGGTCTCACTCTATTGCCCAGGCTGGAGTGCAGTGGCACAATCTCAACTCATCATAGACCCAACCTTTCGGGCTCAGGTGATCCTTCCACCTCTGCATCCCCAGTAGCTGAGACTATAGGTGCTCACAACCATGTCCAGCTAATTTTTTGATTTTTTTTTTTTGGTAGAGACAAGGCTTAGTTATGTTGCCCAGACTGGTCTTGAACGCCTGGGTTTAAGCAATTTGCCCTCCTTGGCCTCCCAAAGTGCTGGGATTATAGGTGTGAGCCACCATACCAGGCCATTGAATGAGTCTTGAAGCTAGAGTATCTTCCCCAGATGGAGCCCAGGAGTCTTTTTTAAAAAAATATTATTATTTTTTGTAGAGATGGAGTCTTGCTATGTTGACCAAGGTAGCTTTGAACTCCTGAGCCCAAGCAATCCTCTCACCTTAGGCTCCCAAAGTGCTGGGATTATAGGTGTGAGCCACTATGCCCAGCTTAAAAAAAAAATTTCCCAGGAGTCTTTACTGGAGAAGAGGCTGGTGGTCCCAGGAGAGATGCCACAGATGGTGTCAGGATGCCTCATGCCAGAGTGGCCGCCTCTTAGGAAGAGGAAAGTTGATAGTTTAGGAACCTCAAGTGCCATTCTTTCCCCAAGCTGGAGGACTGATGGAATTAGAATTTCTTCTAGAGATGTTGAGATCCAGGTCCTAACCAGTCTCAACATCTATTTATTTATTTCTCATTTTAAATTGAATTTATTGCTTTACTCTGTTATACAGAAATTTAAAAAAAAATTTCTCATATGTGTTATAAGAAAATAGTTTACAATATTTTAAAATTATGTGTAAAAAGAACTTAAAGTACAGGTACTTGACCCTGGATTCATGCTATTCAGATGACACAACATTTTCTTTTAAGCAACAATAGTATCAAAGTAAACAATTTTCAGTATCTATTTATTAACTCAACAAATATGCCAGGCTTATAAACTCTGAGGACACCATGTGAAATGAGCAGAAATGGTCTTTTGAGACTCAGAATCTAGTGGAAAACACAGGCAAAAAGTCAGTTAATGAATACATAAAATAATTACACATTATAATAAGCACTCTGAAGAAAACAACTCAGCATAAACACTTTCAGGGAACTCTCTCCACAGAGCAGCCAGGCTGGACTCACCCAGTGAAAATCTCTTTACGTGTTGGGTCAAATCTACCTCACTGTCATTCCCACACTTTTGAGCTGGCTTTACCCTTCAAGGCACACGAACTGGCCTTTGATAGGACTAGCCTACAGCACTGAAAAATCATGACCAGGACTCTTTTTCTGTAAATGGTTTCAGTTCTTTCAACCAGTATTTACCATAAGTACAATGTGTTTGAATCACAGCTCAGCCACTGCTGGGCGCAGTGGCTCAAGTCTATAATCCCAGCACTTTGGGAGGCCAAGGTGAGAGGACTGCCTGAGCCCACGGGTTTGAGACTAGTCTGGGCAACTTGGCAAGAACTCATCTTTATAATAAATCAAAAAATTAGCCGGACATGGTGGCATGCTCCTGTAGTTCCAGCTACTTGGAAGGCTGAAGTGGAAGGATCACCTGAGCCCAGTGGGTCAGCACTGGGGTAACCGTGAGCGGGAGCCTCACTGACAGAGTGAGACTTCAATTAAAAAAAAAATGCATGCATACACACAACAACAGCTCAGCCACGTAGAAGATACTAGAAATTAGGAAACTAGATGCAGCTTTCTCAGCTGTGGAGTGGCAATCAGTATCTGTATCTTTCAGGTCCATGCACACAAAAGAACAAGTACAGATAAAGTAGCACATAGTAACTATGCCATCCCTCAATGTCCCGATCTTCTTTTTCTTCTTTTTTAGTCAAGATCTCACTGTCTCCCAGGCTGGAGTGCAGTGGCACGATCACAGCTCACCTCAGCCTATGCCATGACCTCCTGGCTTCAGGCAATCCTTCTGTCTCAGTTTCCCAAGTAGCTAGGGATAACAGACATGTGCCACCATGCCCAGCTAATTAAAAAAAATTTTTTTTTGTAGAGATGAGGTCTCACTTTGTTGCCCAGGCTGGTCTCGAGTTTCTGGGCTCAGGCCATCCTCTTGTCTCGGCCTCCCAAAGTGCTGGGGTTACAGGTGTGAGCCACTGTGCCTGGTCACTGCTTCTTAACAATACAGAGAAATTGCTGTTATGTTACCCTTAAAATGTGAAATCCAGGATTGGATGCAAGACTCTAATCATGATGCCAGTGAGGCAGAATCCCAGGGCATGGTCTCATCCTTGATGTGGGTAGTCTTCTGAGTACTAATGGAGCCTTAGACAAATACAGTATTTGTACTCAGATGAGATACTTCCCTTCTAGCTCACCCTAAACTGGTCATTAGCACCTTATCCATAAGAATGTCATGAACAAAGTGGTCAAAACTTTGCTTCAGGCCACTCATTAAAAAATGGGATAGATCATGGGTGTGGGAGACAAGTGGAGGGTAGAGGAGGGGTTGACCGTGTCTACAAACTCCTGGCTTCTTTTTTTTTGAGTCAAGATCTCACTGTGTTGCCTAGGCTGGAGTGCAGTGGCACGATTATGGCTTACTATAGCCTCAGCCTTTACCTCCTGGGCTCAGGTGATTCTCCTGACTCAGCCTCCTGAGTAGCTGGGACTATAGACGTGAGCCTCTATGTCTGGTTAATTTTTTATTTTTATTTTTTGTAAAGATCAGCTCTTGCTATGTTGCCTAGGGGGGTCTCAAACTCTTGACCTAAAGTGATCCTCCCACTTTGGCCTCCCAGGGAGCTGGGATTACAGGTGTGAACCGCTGCGCCTGGCCCAAAGTTCTGTTTTTATGGAATGTGCTGATTACATTTTGACCATGAAGTCTGAGCTCTGAATACACGCTGGGTTTGCTCCTGTGCTTGGTACCTGTAGAAGGCTGAGCTGGTGGAGCTGTGCTGACCGTCCCCAGGTTCGTCCACCGAGAGGCAAGTCCAGCCTTTGCCACGGCCCGTTGATAGTTACCATAAAGAGTCTTTCCGTACTAGGGAGGGAAGACAAAGAGAGAAAGGAATCCATTGATCCCAAATGCTGCACTCAGTTGCAATAAACACATGGAGGAAAAAAATACTCTGTGATGAACTACTCTTTTCACTCCTTGCCCAAGTTGGTTTCTTGGATATTTCAATTAAAAATTCCCAGATTGTTTTTTCTGCTGCTCATAATTCAGAGTTTTGTAATGATCTCTCTTTCTTAACTACTATCAACCATCCAGTGCTTTTCCAGATTAGCAGAGTCAGTTAATACATTTGCCTACACTCACCCACATGTTAGGAGAGAGTGTTAGCCACACAAGTTGGATTGCATACTTTTTTTATGTTACTCTATCGTAGATTCCATCTGGTGTTTCTTAATTGTATACTAAGCTTGCAACACTCTCTGTGCGTAAATGTCTGAAAGTCTTATGTGAAAGGAAGCCCTTGGATCTCAGATTCACTGGAGAGGCCAGTGTTTCTTTCACGCCTTCCTACTGAAAAAAACCCACTAGATAAATGTGATTGTGTCTATAGCTGAATCCAAGAGTGGGTCAACTGTTTCACAGCAGCACGAAGGCTAGGCCTAGATCACAAGGCTGGATGGCAAATTCAAGGTCGGGTAAAGTCCAAATGCCCTCACCTTGGCAATCCTTATTCCCATGACCCACTGGTTCAGGGTTCTTGAGTCATCACAGCAGAGATACTTGATATACTGGGACTCCTTCTGAATTTGAGGATGCTAGAAAGAAAAAGTTTCAAAGACAATTTATAAACTTTTTAGTTTATTGGGTGCTCAAAGCACTTGTCAGCAAATTAAAAAAACAACAACTCTAACCCACAAATCTGTACATATACTCCCTAGATCTAAAATTTAAAAATAAAATTATAGGCCAGGCGCAGTGGCTCAGCCTGTAATCTCAGCACTTTGGGAGGCTGAGGCGAGTGGATTGCCTGAGCCCACGGGTTCAAGACCAACTCGGGCAACTTGGTAAGACCTCGTCTCTACAATTAAAAAAAAAAAAAAATCAAAAATTAGCCGGGCGTAGTAGCACGCACCTATAGTTCTGGCTACTTGGAAAGCTGAGGCAGAAGGATCGCTGGAGTCCAGCAGTTCGGTGCTGGGGTGGCCGTGAATGTGCCTGCACTGCAGGCTGGATAACGGAGTAAGACACCAACTCAATAAAATAAAATAACATAAAATAAAACATATTAATAAAATACTCCAACAATATAAGTGATTTACCAAGGTAGTAGCAAAAATTACTAGTTGCAATTTTAGGATTAGGAAGAGGGAAACTAAAAAAAAATGACCAAATTTTGAAGGGGTTTAAAAAATCTGTTATATGGTTTATCATAAGCACTTCTTGCTATATGATCAATAATAATTTTTTATGTATGCATTTTTTAACATTTGAAAGGTCTCACAGCTATCATGTCTTTATCCTCAAGGGAAATCTGAGTCATTTCTCCATTTGTTAGATGAGGGAATTCATCTGATATTAATTCTTATGCCACGGAATTAATGACTTCAAGAATTATAGTTCTATAACTCTCCAAATCTAGTCCTGGGGTTATTTCTGCTTCTAAGAATTCAGAGTTTTGCAATAGTCTCCTTTCCTTTCCTTTCTATTACCAAGGGTGCCATTGGCATCTGGATGGATAATGGATGACCTGGGGTGCCACTGGCCTCTGGATGACCTGGGGTAGGAATGCTTCTGTCTACTGCACTTAGAGCAAGTGGCACTAAGCAAGGGCTTGAGGGGTGCTGACCAGGGTGGTCCAGCCTTCCAGGCTCTCACAGTCAAAGGGAACAATGATATGGACAGGTATGAAGGAGGAGAGACACCAGCCCTCCTTTCTTAATCCTCATGGCTCTTCTATTTTCTGTCTTCAGCTTTTGTCACTAATAGACTGTATCCTCCATAAGGATGGGAACCATGTCTGTCTTATTCCCTCCTGAAGATCCCCAGAGCTTAGCCAAAGGCCCTAGAACATGGTAGGTATTCCAGTCTAGATGTCAAAATAATTGTTGAAAAACTTAAACGAGCACGGTGCTTCCTGTTCACTTAGACATCTGGCAACCTTGAGGTGAGGGGCAAGCAACCAAAGCTAGATTCTAAGAGATGTGCCATGTAAATGTTCACGAGTAATTATCACTTTGATTTTTTTTTTTTGAGTCAGGGTCTCACTCTATTGCCCAGGCTAGAGTGCAGTGGCACAATCTTGGCTCACTGCAGCCTTGATCACCTGGGCTCAGGCGATCTGTCTGTTTTTCTGTCTTAGTCTCCAGAGTAGCTGGGAATATAGGTGCACACCACCATGCACAGTTAGTTTTTAAAATTTCTTTGTAGAGACAAGGTCTCGCTATGTTTCCCTGCCTGGTTTCGAACTCCTGAGCTCAAGCCATCCTCCTGCCTCAGCCTCCAAAGTGCTGGGATTATAGGCATGAGTCACCATTCCTGGCCTATAACTTTGAATAAACATTGTATACAAAAATAATTACCAGCCACAACCTCCATGTGTATGATACCACCTTTCTTCTTTATCTTCCATTCTTCAGATGAGTTAGTGAAGCCTGCCAGGACAAGCATCAGTGGCGAGTGGTGCTGAACGTGGAATGGAAGGCCGAGTGAGCTGGGAGCACCTATCTGCTCTTCAGTGGGCAGGAAAGGAGGGGAGGCTGACCAATCCCTCTCTTAGGGTATTGCACAGACCTCTCCACTTCACTTTTGCTTTTAGCATAGTCACTGACCTCCAAGGAAATGGTGATGTTTTTTTCTTAGAGATGGGTTTTCTCTGTTGTCCAGGCTGTAGTGCAGTGGTGGGATCATGGTTCACTGCAGCCTCAAACTCCTGGGCTCAAGTGATCCTCCCTCCTCAGCCTCTCGAGTGGCTAGGACTACAGATGCGCCACCATGCTCAGCTAACTTTTACTTTTAATTTTTTTGTAGAGACCATAGCTCACTATGTTGTCCAGGCTGGTCTCAAACTCCTGGCCTAAAGTAATCCTTTCACCTCAGTCTCCCAAAGCGTTGGGATTACAGGTGTGAGTTACCATGGCCCAGTCGGAGATGGTTATTTAAAAGTTGATCTAAACAAAGGGTCTTGTGACTTTTCTAAAAACTACCTTTTATTATAAGCATAAACTTATATAAAATGATAAGTATTAACTAAAACAGGACACTTAAAAATAAGTTATGTTGTTTTAGTAAAATAATACCCTGAGAAAATGAATATTCAAGGCATATCCACCTAAATATGGATTCTCTGGTCCATTGGTCCATTCATGCCTTCAAAACACAATTTAGTAACTTTGGGTAATTTTTTAGAGGAGAGTTTCTGTACTACTGTGACAGGCTGAGGTCTTGTGTCTTTAATCAACTGGAATCTGAGAGGCAGCATCTGGATGGGTCATCATGCTGGTCTTTTTTTTTTTTTTTGAGTTGGAATCTCACTCTGTCACCCAGACTGGAGTACAGTGGCCACTCCTGGCCACCGCAGCCTTGACCTGCTGGGCTCTGGCGATTCTTCCGCCTCAGCCTTCCAAGTAGCTGGAATTACAGGCATGCGCTACCATGCCTGGCTGATTTTTTTTATTTATTTTTTTATTGTAGAGATGAGGTCTTGCTGCCCAGGCAGGTCTCGAACCCGCGGGCTCAGGCAATTCACTCACCTCAGTCTCCCAAAGGCATGGGATTACAGGCTGAGCCACTGAGCCCGGCTCATGCTGGTCTTTCTAATGATCCAGCCAGAAGGGCCTGTGGTATTGTTGTCTTTGCCCAGAAAGGATAATAATGAGATACTTGCAGACTCTAAGAGCTTGATGACAGTTTAGTAATTTTTGGTTTTACAAATGAGAAAACTGAGGCGCGGAGAGGTTACTGCATATTTTATCCTATGACCCACTAGAATCTTGGGGGTGGGGTCTCCTGACTTACCACCTAGAATTTCTGTATTTATATTAAGCCCAAATCCCAGACTTTACAGATACCACAGAAACATTCAGAAATTATAAATAATTCCCCTGTTTAGTAAGCCATTCGAGGAAAGTGCACTCTTATGCTTCTATCTTTAAATAGATAGCTTTCTTTATTTAGGTACTACAGCCCTCAAAATTTGCATCCTCATCGTTTGAAGAAGGATCAGTCCCTCTTTCCTAAGGGTAACATCATACCGGGCTCCTGAATGTTGCTGTAGTCTTCCTGTCTGGCCAGCAGATGGCAGCAAACACTTTTGAATGGTTGCTGCACATTTCATTGTTATAGCCGTTCAATATTTACTAATTAATTCTGAATGTTAAATTTTATTTTTGCAAATGCTACTCCAGTAATTATTTTCTTCGGAGGTCCTTAAAATTGGAAATCTCTATCAACGCAGGTAATGTGGCCCAATAACAAAAGGGATTTGTTGCCTTAATTAACCTAAAGGTCATATTGATGAAAAACAAACGGAGCCCCACACTTATTGGATGGATGTGACATCCCACAAATGCCTGCAGCATTCCTGTCCACAATAAAATTTACAAAGCCAAACCAATGTCCTTGTCTTTTAGCACCAGAAACACAGCTTCCTGATCTGCAAATCATTTGTGTTCTGATTGTCATGTAAGAGGGACAAGTCTCAGACTCTTCAGCAATTTAATGTTTACAATTGTCTTTAGAAAGTAGCTTCTTTTTCCCTGAGACATTTAAAAAGTTGACAATAGGCATAATGGTTCATGCCTGCAATCCCAGAACTTTGGGAAGCTGAGGAAGATAACTTGAGCCCAGGAGTTTGAGACCAGCCTAGGCAACATAGTGAGACTTCATCTCTAAAAAAAAAAATTAAAATTAAATTAAAAACTTAGCTGGGCATGGTGGTGCGCACCTGTAGTCCCAGCTACTTGAAGGCTGAAGGATCACTTGCATCCAAAAGGTTGAGGCTACAGTGAGCTGTGATCGTGCCACTGCACTTCAGCCTGGGCAACAGAGTGAGACTCCACTCTCTCCCTCCCCCAAAACGTTGATACTATTACCTTAAACTTACTATATTAAATTTTTGTTTGTTTGATTTTTGGTCCATGCCATGTGGAAGCCAAGTTTTCAGGAGCAGACTGTAAGTCTCATTGTACAAAATGCACTAAGTAACTGTCTGTATAGAGTTATCCATTTAAATAGCACCACAAGCAATTTCTTAAGTATGTTATTCATGCAAACAGAGTAAAATATGCTCATTCCCTTAAATAAAACAGCCTCTGAACATAAAACAGAGGCAGGAATTCTTGACAATGAGGTAGACATATATACCTTGTGATAGGCCAGTCTATCCCATCTCCATGTACTACCACAAGTGTGCTGTGATTGTATAAGGGAGCTTAAGCATCGAGTGACCCCTCAAGTCTCTTGCAGTCCTCAGGTTTTAGGATTCTAACAGGCTCCTTTCTGGCTACCTTGGCAATGCAGAAATCCCCATCTTCCAGGACATCGTAGAGCATGTCACTGTGCTTTTTCTCCACAGTGACTTTTTCTCTTGGGACCTCACCTAGGGAATTCCCTGAGCCTTTTGCTGAAAAATTATCTGTAAAGAGGCTTAAGGAAAATGCTGGTTCAGTGTCATTGGCCAGATTCTTTTGTGAGTGCTTTGACTGTTTCTGACCATAAAAGAGAGAAGTTCTCTTAGAGTATGAATGTAGCACACAAAGGTCAGGGCAGCTGCAGGATGTCACTGCTTAAAGGGATCTTATCAGATCTTCTTAAAAAA